AATGTCACTCAGAATAAAACAGACAGAACTGAGCTGCCCGTAAATTGGTCTTAAAATTAAGTAAAAGTTTGTTGAGGCAAAACTTTTAATTAACACTGAGACTTTTATTTCTGTAGTTCTTTTATTGACTGATATGAGCACACTAACATTTTCAGAAACATATTCGCCATCACAACATAAGAATGTGGTGAAAACAATATTCCAATCATAATTAATATGATATGATATATAATATGATAATATCACAAGCAGACTAAAAGTAATTGCACACATACTCACCATAAGTCCTAAATACATGGATATTACGAGAATAACAAGAGAATGAAAATAAAAAAAACATTTGCGCTATTTTAAAAAGAATTAAAACTTATAAATTATATTAATTAACTCGATATTTAGGATATATGACATTAAAATGAACAAATATTAAAATTTTAACTCAAGATTCAGGCTATATGACCTTAAAAATAAATTTTAAAAAGTCAAATTAAAGATGAATAAAATCACACAATTAACAACCAACATAATGTTTTGTTTCTTTTCTAAATCAGACTCACTCTTTTATTGTATTTCTCGTTTTAATTGGGTTTCAAACTGGCAACAATTAGGCCTTTTTTTCTCCTTCTTCTTCTTTAGGTCTGCGATGCATTTTCGCCTGATTGCTCTGCTTTAACGGGTTTTCAGGGGCAAAGCTGACAGAACACGACTATCAGGCTCCAAGTCGCTTTAATAAGAGTTTTATATGAGGTCTCAGTGTCCGCTCATATGAATGCGTTTTAAATCAAATCACAGATGCACTTTTATTCAGCCGGTTAAAATAGCAGAACAAAACCGTCTTTAGAAATAAAGCTTTTTTTATTCCACTGGGCTTTTTTTTTGTTTTTTTGAAGCCGAGAGAGGGAAGGAGAGAAAGGCCGAGGGGCGCCTCCTCCGCAGCTGAGGGTGACAGTTAGTTCATGGTTAACAGGATCATGAGCGCACGGCTCAGGCCGCACACTTCTCCTGTGCGCACTGAGCTGCGGCTCTGCGCTCTGAATGAAGCCTGTGTAAAAAGAGTGATATTTAACACATCTGTTAAAGCGTTTTGATAGCAGAAATCCGTTTAAGACATTATTCCATGACGAGGGCCAGATTGGGTGTTGAGAATCCTATGAAACCCTAAAACTGATTTACATTTGAGATGCTGCGCCGCGTCGGCAACTAATAGATAGTAGATTGAACAATAAATATAGATAATATAAATCAGTTGTTCTGTTGGGTCATGTCAGTTTTATTTATAGAGCCCAATATTATCAATGTGCCTCAAGGTGTTTTAATATTACTAAATGGTTTAAAGTTTTATCTGTTCATTTTATGTATTTATTTTTTTGCAAGTAAATAGGCCTAGAATAAAAGAATAATTTAGCATTTTAACGAGTATATTTTTATATCCTGAATAACATAAAGACACTGAATAGAAAAGAATAAGGTATCTTTTTTTTTTAAAGTCCCCATAATGACTGAATCTGTAAAGATTGCTCTTTAATTAGGCCGCTTGCCTCTGCCAAACAAAACAAATTGAAAGGAAAGTGGTCAACATGCAAAATTGATGACTGAGCCTCTTTTGTGGTGGGGACATTGTGTGTTGCTTGCTTATGAAGTCTAATGCAATCATAAATTGCGTCCTCTGGCCAATCAGCGGCCCGGGGGATGCAGCATGAAAGCGACCCATGTGGAGAACTTTGTTGAGCCCCATTGTTGAGGCTGTCAGCTCTGAGCGGAGGGCCGGGGNNGGGGGGGGGGGGGGGGGGGCAGGCCCCTATAAAACTCCTCTCCCCAGAGTGAGGAAACCAGAGGAGTTAGCAGCCATTCACTCGACTGATTCCCTCCCAGCTACCACAAGGAGTATCTCAGTTTTCACACACTTGCTTTTTTTAAGCCGGGACCATGATGATCCCAAGTGTCATCGCGCCTCCAGCCTTCTACCCGGGGCTGTACCGGCCCGCTGCCCTGCCGCTGCACCAGACCCTGCCGTTCCCGACCCACTCCAGCTTTCTAGTGGAGGACCTGCTGCGGATAAGCCGCCCCACCGCCTTCATTAACCGGAGTGTAGGCGCCTCCCTGCCCACAGCCACCACCACCGTGTCCTTCAGCGGCGCCGAGCGCGCCGTGGCCACGACCGCGATGACGCGCGAATCATGCTCACCGAAAACGTCCCTGCCGAGCAGCAAGGACCCAACTTTTCTCAAGTTTGGAGTGAGCGCCATCCTCGCACCTTCACCAAAGACCGGTGAGTACACGGACTCCGCTGTGTTTGTGCCTTCAGTCTCAGTTTATGTGTTTAGATGTTTTTTTTTATTCAAGGATGATTTTTAACATCTGTGATTCCTCCACAGCTTCCTCACCACCTGCAATCCACAACCTGCACTCCAAGACCTTCCCCTTCCCCTGCTTTGACGGAACTTTTCACCCCATATTCAGGACGCCTTATTTACCAGGTAGGCGCAACTTTTACGCACTTCTCCTCTATAGAGTCATCTCTCTCCAGCCTTTACAATCCTGTCGCAAACTAATTACACTTAACACTTTCACCGCCTGTCAGAGATTGTTTTGTTTTTTTACCAGAAAAGAAGAAATCACTGTCTTATTAATGGGGAGCTCTGGCCCCTGCCCGGACCCACCCACCCACCCCCTAATTAACCAATTATCCCAAATCGTCA